CGCCGGTAAATCCCGGAGCGCAGCCGTGGGATCCTGGTGCGCCGCACGGTGGGAGACCGGGATAGCAGCGGTGGCGTTTCTTGTTGGCTTGGAGCCTTTCGAAGAGATGTCTCATTCCTGGAAGCGCTTAAGACCAGGTTGGATTAGCCTTTGGGCAACCTGGTGCAGCGGAGGGTGTCCATGCTCGTGGCAGGGGGATTAGAACTAGATGAGCTTTGAGGTTCCTTCCAATCCTGGTGCGCCGCACGGTGGGAGACCGGGATAGCAGCGGTGGCGTTTCTTGTTGGCTTGGAGCCTTTCGAAGAGATGTCTCATTCCTGGAAGCGCTTAAGACCAGGTTGGATTAGCCTTTGGGCAACCTGGTGCAGCGGAGGGTGTCCATGCTCGTGGCAGGGGGATTAGAACTAGATGAGCTTTGAGGTTCCTTCCAACCCAAACCATTTCATGATTTTATGTTCTTGCTCAGTAGGATGCTCCAGGTCAACCTCTGTGTGCAGCGTGTGCAGGGGCAAGATCTGAGGGTCTTGCCTGAGCCCCACTGTAGGAGGTATTGGTCTTCTTCTTGCTCCGAGCTCAGATCAAGCCAGGAGCATGTTCTTGGAGTTGATGAGGCTTTTTGTCTTTATGCTGCTCTTTGTTCATTAATCCTATCTGCTTAGGCTAGTCCTTGCTGTTGGAGATTTGTGCTGGGACAGAGAAATCACTAAAGAAACCTTGGTGTGCTGTGGGAGCGTGAGGAGCACCTCATTCTCTTCTCCAGATGGGGCAAATGCAGCTTCCACTTCAGCAGATAGTGAGCTGTGGCGTAGGAGTAACTTAAGATAAAGTGAATTTTAAAAAAGGACTTAGTTTTGAATGTTGGGGGAGGTTTTTTTAAAAGTGTTTTAAAAGCTGCAGAAGAGGAACAGTGGCTTTTTAGTGAGCAGCATACTGACCAAATTGTTCCTCCATCTTCAGGGAGGTGTTGAGGGCATTTCGTAATAAAATGCATGATTGTGATCATACGTGCTAGGTGGCCAATAATCTCCCAGCAGAAACTGGCTTTGAAATTTTCGCAGACAAGCATACGCTGTTCTGCCAGAGAGGTCACAGTGCAGTGGAAAAACACAGACTTGCCTGGAAGGCTTTGCTGCTTACTCACACTTGGAGAAGTTCCTTCAGGTGTGAGCGTTTGCTCTGGGTGCCTCTCCCAAGGCAGATGCCTGTGCTCTCTGCAGCTTTCTATTTTTCGCTCCATTTGGCTGTGGGGTGGGCAAGGTAATTGCTTTTCCTCTTTAATGTTCTCCTGTTTTGCGTCAGTGCCAACAGCCATCCCTGGCAGGATGCGATGTGTTTGCACTTGGGTCACAAAACTGTTGCTTATCTCCTACCTTTTGGATTTGGTTTTCTCTGGTGGTTTCTTGTCAGAGAGGTAGCTCCGTCTCGTCACAAAAGGCTTCAAGGCAGAAATTCTGTAGGTTTTTTTTGCTGCTCGCTCTCGTGAGCAGATTTTCCCCTTACAGCTATAAGGCAAGTCAGTTTTCTGATGTTTACTTCTCCCATAAAGGAGAGGGCCATCGCGTGGCAGCAAGGCCTTGGGGAGAAGAAGTACTGCGTGTGTCACGGGGTGGCAGCCAGCCTGGCGAATCTCGTGTGCTGTGTCCTTGATGGTGTGGCCAGCTGTTTCCTATAGCAAGTGCTGGTGAAGAGGAACTGCGTGGGGGAGGAAGGTTTTTTACTTTTTTTTTTCCTTGATCCATGAGCAAAGTTTTGCGTTGAAACAGGATGCGTGGTATCATGAGTTTTTTTGGTTTGTTTGGCTGGCTTTGCATTTAGCACTTAGAATTTCAGCACAAGTTTTGACTTGAGAGGCCAGTGGTGTTTGGTATCTGAGAAGAATGGGATCCCAAATAATGGCAGTGGGTATGTCCTCGTGGAGGCAATTGTTACCAGTGGAGACCCCGTGGCCTGCTGAAGAACCCCAAAGGGGACAGAGTCACCTGGAGCCATCATCTCAACTCGTAATGGGGAGAGCTGTGGGGCTTGGCAGTGTTAGGGGTGCTGACAGCCACAAGCAGTGTTTTGAGGTGAGGGTGTACGGGTTCCAAGCTTGAATCCCAGGGCAGGACAACAGTAGTTTCTCGCTGGCTTTCAAAGTCTTTCAAAGAGGTTTATCTTGCTTGGTGGGGCACTCCAGGTCAACCTCCGCGTGCAGGGAGGCAGGTCCGAGGGTCTTGCCTGAGCCCCGCTGTAGGAGACCTTGGCCTCCTCCTTGCTCTGAGCTCAGATCAAGCCAGGAGCATGTTCTGGTGGATCTTCTCTGAGTTGATGAGGCTTTTTGTCTTTGCACTGCTCTGTGTCCATTAATCCCATCTCATTAAAAACGACCCCCCAGGCCCAGCCGAGCCGTGAGGAAGCTCTGTGGGAACCTGTATGGGAAGGGCAGGTTTAGCCTGGCAGCGGTGACCTGGGCAGGAGGAAACTGTGAACTGCCCCAGGCTGGTCAGAACCAATTCCGGACAGCTCTGGAACAGCTGCTGGCACCCAGGGCACAGGAGCAGAGCCTGTGTGGCCTCCCTGGCCCCCTGCCAGGGGAGGAGGAGGGTGGCATCGCTGCCCCCATGGCAGCTGCTGAGCAGCCTGCCCGGGAGCACGGGGACACGGCCAGCAGGACTGAGGGGTGAAGGGAACCCACCCTCCAAGCTGCCCTTGCTCTGGGGAAGGATTGGGATGGCCCAGGGGTGATCTGTGGTGGGAGGGGGGAAATGGAGAGGGGGAGAGAGGGAGGGCTGGTGTTCGGCTTCAATGGAGGCTGGGAATGGGGAGAAAGGCATTTACTGAGGTGTTTTGTTCTTCTATGTTCTTTTTTACCCCCTCGGCACCTCAATCAGGGAAATGAGGTTGGTGTTCAGTGGTGATGAACCAGTTTAGATTGCCCTGAGGGGAGACTCCAGCCTGGGACGTTCGCTGTGGGAGACGGCCCTGTCCCAGCCCAGAGCTGGCGTGACGAGAGGGACTCTGGAAGGAGCTGTAACCAGTTCCAAGGACTGCTATGCACAAAGCTTATCCGATGCTCGATTTTTATGGAAAAACACATTGTATTGTTCTGTCACAGCCCTGCAAAAAGCAGTTACTAGCAAAGGCACATCAGCATTTAGTGCTCTGGTATAGCCTTGCAGAAGCAGTTACTGGCATTTTGTTTCCCTTGCTGGCAGTCTGACCATCACCAACTATGCCTGAGACTCAGCAGAGCAGGAGGGTGTCAATCAGCGGGGTCATGGTGGAGAAGGGAGGCGGGTATGGCATGGTCAGGGTGTCCCCTGTCTGTTGGTAGAGTGTGCTCTGTAGCTTCCCCCACTCTGTTCTGAGCCGCCTTTTTGCCCCCTCAACAGAGCCTATGGAAAGGTGCTGACTGTGTGTTGCTGCACCCGTGGCCAGTGTGTGCAACAAGGCCTGGCAAGTATGTGCTCTGCTGGATAACAGCTTTTTTTTTGGGGGGGATGGCACCATGTTGATCAATAACAGCCCTCCCAGCTCCCTTTTTCAAGGTTATGTTCTCACAGCTGAGTCCAGGTTGTAATTATCTCTCAAATAACAGTCCTCCCAATTCCCTTTCTCACAGCTGAGTCCAGTTTGTAATCTTCCCTTGTGGCCCTACACAGACCATCATCTACAATCCTTTACACATACCACTGGGTGGTCTGTAGTTGGGACGCAAGGGTATTCCACAACCCGTACCATGGTGCGAACGGGTTCCATCTGGTTGCTTCCATTAACTGTTGGTTGAATTGGTGTAGCTCTTGCAATTGTGCGTGGATGGACTTTGAGTGGTCACTCAAGTTGATGCAGTGTAGGCCTTCAAAGTCTTCAAGTTCATGTCCATGAGCTGAGTGTAGAGATCAACAGCGGAATAAATCAGAAAGGACTGTACGAGCAGCATTACTAAATTTTGCTAATGAGTATCCGCGGCAATTTAGTGTTGTCAGGGACTGCACGCTGGCAACAACTAGAGTTTGGAAAAAAAAAAAATTAAAAAAGATGAAGCGATGGTTCTTGCCAGGTCCCAGGTTTCTACCTGATCCTGGCAGTCAGGAGAAAACGCATGAATGTTTGAGCTGACTCGGTGAGAAGACTGATTTTTGCGGCAGCCATACAGCCGACAGGGTATCTTGTCCGGTCACATTGGCCAATGTCACTCGTGTGTTTTGCTCACGGGGGAAATGTGTGTGTACAAACCTGTGAAAACAAAGGTTAACGTGCCCCCCCCGCCCCATCATTCACTGCGTTGTAGCTGTGGTGAGGTACACACAACCAGGTTGATTCACTCGTGAGGGACATGGTGATGGTGTGTGAGCCAGCAGCAGCCACCACTTCAGCTGCACTTGGTCCTGGCTGTCCAGGGGAGTGATAGCAAACACTGTCGATTGCTATTGTGTATTGGATTTATTATCATGAAACCGCTGGCAACATGGTTTGGATGTACTGTAAAAACAAAAACCACTGTCTGTTCCGTTTGCACAGATATCTTCACGTCCAGAGGGAGCCACTAAAAAAAAGCAGGGACTGTTAATGTTTGTGAAGAAGAAAGAGATAAAAATGCTCACGAGGGAGTTAATGTAAATTGAGTACCGCTATCATATTGCACCATAGTGAGTGGTACCTTTATTGATCTGGCTTCGTAATTTTTTTCTTTTTTTTCATCAGTAGGAGGGGTGTTTTATCTCCTGCCACCACACGGTTATTCACACTTATGGAGCTCGGGTGGTCCAGCCCGATCTATCCGTAGGACAGGAGGGCAGAAATGTCACCTTTTTCTCTTTTTTCCCTTTTTTTTAGCAAGTTAATGCTGTGCCTTACACAGCAACAGTACCACACTAGATATCTTAAATGTTCCTGCGACTCTGTACACACTGAAATTCTAGGCTACGGCGTA